TGGTGTCATTCACTTAGTCTCTGTGGAAAGACCTGAAATCAGACAGCCAAATCATCCTTTGCTTCGTATTCATTAATGTTTTGATTTAAAGTTTGTGCTGTTGAAATAAACCTTTAGGGATATCTTGATGTGTGTTTGCTCTCTCGCTACCATTAAATCTGCCTACCTTTAGCTGCTTCATTTGAGCTGGGAAAAAGTGGATTGATAGAATGAGAGATTTGCTTCAATTGTCATTCAAAGAGCCAGGTGTTAGGATCATGCCAGGCAGAATAAGAAAATATCCCTGTCACAGAGAGATGATGTACCTTTTGAAATGGTGGAGCTGTTCTCTCTCTAGCTCTTGTGCTGTCTTCCCATGTCCTCACTTCTCTTTGCCCCTCTTGGACCACACATGCCAGGAGTGCGCATAGGAAGCTGTCTTTCTGCTCACACGAGCAGATGGCCTGTATCTGTCTCTTCCTTATATGAAAACCATGTGCTCTTCATCAAAAGAGCCAATCTATTCCTATATAAAATTATTTATGCTTGGATTAGTGTGTGTAAAAGAGGTAGCTGCACTGGTATTCATCTCAGAATATCTGGTGTCCTTCTGCAGAATCATGGGCAAGGGTAAAAGGGCAGAGACAGTAGACATGGGGAGATAGTAGACATGCTGTTTCTGCCATCCATTCTCTGCCATGAGTTGTGGGAAGGCTGTGGTCCCTTCTCAGGGTAGGTCAGTTGAGGTGGTGCTGGTGGTGGTGACAGCTTGAGGTGGAAGACGTAGAGTTGCAGCTCAGCACAAATGACCACAACTGCCAGTGACTCATTGAGGACTGCAGGGATGCTGTCCAAATACTATGAGAGGCTGGGTGGGTGAGACCAGAGCTCATTGAGATTGTGGGCTGCTTCCAGGAGTGAGTAGCCAATGGCTAGTGAGGACAATAAGAAAAGGGGTGAGCATGCAGTGAGACTCTGCTTCAGCCTCAGTGTCTTGAGTCTCCAGGACTTCCTGAGCCAGGTTTGCCATTGAATACACCTCCACGGGTGCTTTTTTGACTGTCTTTTTGCATGAAGATACATATTCCTTTTTAAATTCTAAACACAGGAATGAATTATATCCCACCTGGAGATGCTTTTAATTTTCTCTGAACTTCTCCCATTGTGCAGCGGTTCACAGGCACCACAGCCATGTGATTAGCCAAGGCTGCTCTCGCTTCGTGTTGGTCTAATTATCTGTCCATTAGAATCTTAAGTCTTGAGCTGGAAGTGTGTAGGGTGTCTTTGTTTAAAGGGCAGTCTCCTAATGCAAATATTAAAAGAGAGCTTTCTGGCTTGCCCGAGTCAGACTGACAAGCTAATAATAGCCTTGTGTTAGTCTTGGCTAACAGAGAGCATCAGTATAAAAAGGTTTTAAGGGACTGGTGTATCAATCAAATCATAGAACATAATATGCATTTGTGTGTTTTGCTTGTTTTAACGCTTAAACTCCCATTAAGAAATATTTTTCTGAATGCTAAGGGCATAAGAGTAAAAATGGAGCTCTCCTCCTCTCCTTACATCCACTTGAGGTTTCAGGTTAGTCTGAGGTTTCAGGCTTCTAGTTAACAGAATGCCATAATACAAAACTATTTTCAATAGCTGTAGTCTTGTTCAAGAAACTGTGCTCTTTGATGTGTTACCTATAAACTCAAGAAGTGAGTCAGATGGCTTGAAAACTGGTGTGTTGACTACGTGTGGGGGGGGTTGTGAGGATGGCTAATTGTTGGAGAGGGCATGTGTTCTTTCCCAGCTTTGCCAGCAGAGGATTACATGTTAGGCAATTGCTGCAATTTAATTATAGTGTGGCAAAGGTTTTGATATCTGCCTTTAAATTATCCCAAGGGCATCTGGGAGGAACGGCTTACTTTGAATAAATCTTAATAAATGTGTGACTTTATGCTGCTGACTTGTTTTGTTCTGCGAGTGCCATTTGTTCCCATTAACTGTATCATAGAAGTCAATACAGCTATTCCTGGAAACATGGCAATATCACATGAGTAAGAATTTATAGGATGGGCTCAGTATGTCACTACAACAATTGTCAGCCTCTCTCTTTTATTTATGGAAGAGCGATGCATATGAATGTACCTTCATCTGGAAAGTTTTAGGCAATTCTAATAAAAGGAGATATGCATGAATTATCAGTACATGATGTTCTATTCACTAGAGGGAGAGTCATTTTAAAAAGCCTGCGAAGTGAGGCATGGTTGCTAAGTAAGGCAGGGGTTTTATTAGACCAACAGATGTAATGGAAAAAAAAAAAGAAGCAGGCAAGATTTTGGGCGTACGAAGACCTCCTTTGGATGTGAACCAAATAGCGGAGTTTGTGCTAAGAACAGCTTGAAAACAATTGCTCTCAACTTCAGCTAAATACATTAAATGGTGAAGTAATTGGAGAGGAAGGGGTAGCTGGGACACAAGGGAAGCGTTGCAAAATAATGGAGATGACATGGGAATGTGGAGGAAGGGTGGCTTTTGAGGAAATTTAAAGCCATGTGGAACTACGCTGCTACTGTCTTCTGTTTGGTTGTGTGGTGTTGGCAGCTGCAGCTTAGGCACACTCAGGGAATGGGAAATAAAGAACAATATAGAAAATGGGTTCAGCACTGTAAGAGGAGGAACATGGAGCAGTGTGGGAGGGATGCCCAATGGAAGTGGGGTTTAGGATGATGGAGATGAGCAGTTCTTCTGAAGCCTGGGAGAAATAGGCATTCTAGTTCAGGAAAGTAATTTCTGTCAAGATAAGGTTTCCTAGTACAAATATATTCTATTTCCATGGTGAGATAAGACAACCAGAGCAAAGAATTGTGGATTTGCTTTTCATAACTTCTTTTCCATAGGCTACCTGGAACTCCTGAAGGAGTAGTTGGGTTGTTTCTTAAAATCTGATCCGTTTCTCTCCTGGAGTGTCCTCATTGGGCAAAGATCCTCTTTACTCTGAGGTGGATGGCCCAGGTATTCTCCCAGCTGCAGAGCTGCAGTGCCTTTGGGAGACCTGGTTGGAGTTCCCATTTCTGGCTGTGCTTTGCATGGCCACTGGTCTCTGAGTACTGGGAGTCTTCTGCACAGTACTGGGAATACAATGGAGTGGATTTGATCTAGGCAGGCAGGGTTTCTTCCAAGTATTTAGCTCAGCAGTAAAAATGATCACACTTATAGTACTTTCCTGTTCTGCACAGGCTTAATTTAATGATGTTTGTAAACTACCTGAAGACCTGCAGATGAAAGATGTACTTTTCTATTAGAAAGGCCACCTTGCGTGGTGTTCAGGCATAATAGGGAGCTGTAAAACTACTTTGGGCCTCTGAGATAAAAAGCACTGTAAATCTTGAATGAGATATTAACAATATCCAGTGTAACTAATGATAACTTTAACCGCCAGGCAGCTGTTGGGCTAGAACAGTTATCTTATTAATGCAAAAATCCCCCTTTTTTTTCCTAACACAGGCTCACATTTATATCTCTGTTGATTGACAGAGAAAATGAGTGTGTGAGTGTGTCTTCCTCTTGGTCACTCTCTAGCCTGAAGAGGGGTCTCCAAGAGAAATTTGGGGAAGGACTTGTCTGCTGGCTGGTAGGACCCAACTGCTGAGTGTTGTTTCCCAGAGTGGGTACACAAGGTCCCTGATTCCCCCCTGTATTTTAGTCATTGAGGCTTAAATTTGAAAAGCCTCACCAGCCACAAAAGGCTATCTTGGGGAATTGACAATTTAATTATTATGTTAACAAGCTGTAAACTACTAAAAAAAAAATATCACGGAATTAATTTAATTTTTGTTACAATAGGCTCCTGCCTTAAAAGACAACAAACCCCCATGTATTCTATGGCTTTAGTTAGACCTCGCATGTTTTATGCAGTTATTTTCTGGCATGCAGCATTTCCTAATTTACACCAGGGCAGAGAAATCAGAATAAGGCTGGCAAAATCTCTGCAAACCCCATCAACGTGTAACCTTTTTTTTTTTTTTTTGACCCTCCATACCTCCTGAAATCCTGCTATTTTTGTAACTAGGGCTAGGTAGCAGGATGAAGATTTTATATCAGCCTACAAAGCAACGCTTTTATTTTGGTCTTGTTATTTTAGGAATAATCAGCAGAGAACAACGATACTTCCTCTTATGAATTTCATGTGGTTCCCTGAGGGGACTGATAGCAATACACAGAATATACATTTTCCACAGCAATAGTTTAGATAAATCTTATCTGCCCTTGAATCGACAATACAGCTTCCATTGACTTGTGTGCAAGCCTGAATTTCATTGTGTATTTTGTTCCGTTTACGTGCTGTTTTCTAAGGCTGGCACTGGGTTTTTCATTCTGTATGTACAGAGGCTGGCGATGCAGTAGCTTTGAGCTGTGGAGGTCAGTGCCTGTAGTTGTCAAGTCTTTGATTCCCACCCTGGCACATCAGCTGAAATAGGGGCTCTTGGATGTACAAGACGTAGTGGGGGGGACCTTCAGCGGTCTCGGTGTTGGGCTCCTTCACCTCATTCATCTGCTCCTCAGCTTATGGGGCAGCATCTCATCTGAAAGGGTTGCTGTAGGCTGGTGACATTGAGAGGCAGCAAAGAGTGTTAAATCCTGCTCCAACACTTTAGCTTTCATTTTCTGGGAACAAAGCACCATCGTGTTTTGTGAGCTGGGCCATTTGGGTAAAAATTGTCATCAGGAGTGTGTTTGTGACTTGGGCAACCAATATGTTAATGAAATTGTGGCTTCATTAATGTCTGTGGACTGTTTGCCATTCTGAAGTCATTGGATCATGATTCCTCAGGTGTTTATGGATACTGTAACTTTCTTGCAAGAGAGTTGCTTGGTCTGTTCAAGGTGGAAAAAAAGTCATAGAACTATGGTATTTTTAAATAGTAATATAAAATCTGTTCCAAACTCTTATACATAGCATACTTTTATGTGTATTTCTCTAGACTTCTGAATTTTGTGCTAGAAATAATGAAGTATATCTTTTTCTTTCCCTGAAGGCCAAACGTCTGTCCAGTGTTGGAGTTGGCTCTGGTTGGACACCAACAGCCGTGTGTTCAAGCCTTTAGTCGTATGGTCAAGATGTGGAAGCAAGGTTGCACAGGGAGGAGGTGGTGTATGGGCTATGAGAGAAGGTAATATTTTATCTACTGTTATAAATTAATTTTGTTACTCAACTTAGTGCAAATTCTTTAACTTTTTATTTTTTGAGAGAAGTTGTAAACTATTTAATCTGAAATGTTTGACTTAGTTATGGATATAGCGTATCCTGCTGAGATTTTACTTTAATATTACTGAGGAGAAAATGTAACTTTTTTTTGGTTTTGGGTGTGTCATGAACTTCTTGGCTGGCTTTAGATCACAATTTTTTATTATCAGAAAATGCTCCTGTCTCATCCTGTTTTAGGTGAAGTCCAGCTGTCAAGTTATCTGCTTTGAAAAATTGAACTCCTTTCTGTTTCTGTCATATGCTTAGAACTGATGGGAGATCAACTCCCCCAACAGCTGAAACCAAAATTGATTGGAAAACAAAATTACTCACCTTTGACTGGCTGAATACAAATTCATCAGAAAATACGTGGACATAGTATATTAGAGCTATCTGATGTTATCAGGATGCATTTTGCTGTATTTGCTTCCTTTTTAACAAGGACTACTGATAGGGGCTGAAAAAATGTATAGTAAATATGACTTATGAGTAGAGTTTGTTACTGATGAGATGTGAATAAGCTGAATAGAAGTGGTGGTTGTTCCCTTAAACTTATTCTCTTCACAGGTCAGGGTACTACACGGTGTACAAGCAGGCGTACAGAATGGAGCATCAAACTGCCTACAAGTGCTGCCCTGGGTGGGTCCAACGTGACAATGAGCCTGGCTGTTTGCACTGTAAGTTGATAGCAAATCTGTGACAAATAATTAATGAAAAGAGAGGGTATCCTTAGGCCTTAGTGTCTTCCTGATGCTTCTAGAAAGTAGGGTTGTATTTCTTGCTATTTATAACTGGGATTTCCAGTTATAAGGAGGCAACCTATTGATGGGGAAAGAGACTTCATTTCAAAATACAAAAGCTGTCATGTAAAAGTACCAAGAAACTCATAATTTCAATCTAAACAGTGGAAACAGAATTTCTCCTTGTAGTTGTTGCAGCATTTCTGTGCCAGCCTGGCTTTGACAGGCCAACCAAAGTTATTGCTGTTACACAAATTATACAAAGAAATCTGCTGTGAGGCACTTGTTTCTTGGATGTAGCATTCATTGTGGAATCTGACTGGTTCTGGCTTTTTCACTGCTGCTGTTGCCATTGAAGCAATTGTGTTTCTACCCTGTGGTTCTCCACCTGGTGAGAACCTGTTCCTATCAGTAATTTCTGATCACAATTGGATGTTTTCCTAAAAGGTGGAATTTAATTTAAATGGTAAGGAAGCATTTCAGCCACTGTTAACGAGACATAAGTAGGAGATAGCAATTTACTCACTGTTTAGTTTTGTTACTGTGTTGTCAGTAATTGTATTTTCTGTATGAAAGTCAGCATCTGTTCCTATGGATTTTTGTAATCTTCATACCAACTTGAGGGCTGCATTGAGAGAGCTTGCCTTTATGGTTGTCTCTTTGTATTTAAAAAATGGAAACAAGCCTGAGAGGTATTCCTGTTAGTTTTAGCTTGAATCGACATATTTAGTGTGCACCTGTTGTGTTGTAAGAAGGCAAAGATATGTTTAGAATCTGTATTTTAATCTCTGGTTTAAAGGAATTGAATGTATTTGAGCACCAGTGGCAATATAAAATTATTTTCTTCCTAAAAGAGCAGCGCAGACTTGTTTTGAATTCTTTAAGGCACCAAAGTGGTTGAGTTTTTGTATTTGATACATTTATATTTGATACTTTTTGAGAGTTTGGCTCAAGTGTGTGGAATTTAACTTATTGTAATTAAATGCTATTCTGCGTTGGAGGAAGGGAAGTATTGTAATTCCCTTGGACATACATGATATCTTTTAGTATACCAGTGGGTCTTAACCATTGCTGAATTATTCTCTAGCAGCTCACCTCTTCTTTTATTCTGGATTCAGGTAGTGCTTTGAGCCTTGAGAAACTGTCTTCTGCCTCTGAAGCATTTTTAGGTTAAACTGTGTTGTCTTATTTTTATTAAAGTTAAATTTCTTCATATCGACATGGTAGTTATACCCATGATAACAAGTTCAACTGCAGTCTAGCCTTTCTGCTTAAATAAAAAGCTGGATTTCTTATTTGGAAAGGAAGAGGCAATTCTGGAGGATCTTTGGCAGAAAACCAACCCTGTTTCGTTCTGTTTGTGTGCACCAGCTCTGTGTTCTGTTGGCACTTGCTTCAATGGAGGGAAATGTTCTGAAGCAGGATCCCAGATGTGCCAGTGTCCTGCAGGATTTCAGGGTCCTCGCTGCCAGTATGGTGAGTCAAATGTAAATTGCCTCCAATGCATCTGGTGTTTGGGTAAAAATATTTGTTGAGACATGAATATTTTATTAACGTTGACTTTAAATTAAAGTTGTCTCTATTGCGTTCCATCTGGTTATTTGGTTATTCTCTTGTTTTCCATAATTTGCCTTTTTGGCATGGAGTTTTAACAAAGCAAGATGAAATATTAATTTGGTTGGTATCAGATGAGTTTCTGTAATGGCTAATGCCATTGAATATCAGCAGGGGTGTCCACTGGGATATCTATTGCTTCTGAACACGCACTTTCTCGTGGCACTCTTGCTAAATTCCTCAGCATTTCTTTTACCCTTATGAGATTGCCCAACCTGTTTTGACTCAGAATTTAAAGCATGCAGCAAATGAACCGAATGTATTTATTCATGGGACTTCTTATGGTGCATCTGAAAACAGGAAGGCTGGTTTTACAGAGCACTACCAAATATTTCCTACTATTCTTGAAATAATTTATGCACCAATCTTTTATTTCAGTAACTGTGTTCTAGCATATTATAGACTAAATTCTATGTGACTTAGACTATCACTCACTCTCAATGGGAGTCTTTTTCTCTCATATGCTGGTTCACAACCTGATAGACCCACCACGGGTCGTCTTGTAATTTCTGTGAAATAAGACCATCACATACTGTGTAAAGCTCTCAAAAAAATTATGGAACTGCATCCATTTAGCTTCTTAAAGGGAGGGGAAAAAAGTCATTTCTTCAGAGTAGGCTGTGATTGGGACAAAAGATTTCTTTTGTATTAGACAAATGACGATTTCCTTTTCAACTGAAGCGCATTGTGTTTTGTTCAAAGAAAGGCAGATTTTTTGAATATTTAGGTTTTTCACTTTTAAATGCTGGTATGTTCATATCCTCACCTGGCTTGTCTGTCCTGAAGTACAAGTGAGAAGGAATTTTAACAACTGTTGACAGCAATCCCTTCAAGAGCTGAAAAGCCAAGCCCTGTACTTGGTAAATGGCTTGTACCGTGCTCGCATCACAACCTCCTTCATATTCTGATCTCTGGGCTCCACCAAGGCTTGTGTGATGAGCTGGGGCTTGTGTGGACTCTGCACCAAAGCAGCTGTGTTGGTATGGGCAGCAGCCTCCTCAGGGAAGGGAATAAAGCAGCTGGAGTTGCAGCATCCTTGGTAAGTGGGAAATGCAGAGTCAGCAAATGCTGCAACAGGGTTGTTTCATTGATGCCCAATCATAGATAACATTTTTCACTTATGAGCAAGCATTTAAATAAAATGCAGAGCTCTTTACAATGAAACTTCTGCTGACATCAGACCAGAGTGTGCCAACTTTTGTCTTAAACAGTATTAGTTCAGTTCAGCATCTCCCTTGGAGTCTGCTTTAATTGTGTATTTCTTTACTGCCCATAGAAACAACAAGTTTGTCTGTAACTTGGTATGAACCAGAGTGACACCAATGCAGATTACTTTGTTATTGACTTGCAGTAGAGCTGCTGCTTCAAGGTAAGGAGGATCAGGGTCTCCAAGGAGCCCATAAAATAAGCTTTTACCAAATGCAGTATAAGTCTCAGCAAATTCTAAACCATCTTTGCTAGTCTTTTGAACCTCCTTCTGTTGCCTGGAAAGACCTACGGCACGAAGGCCTTTCTGACAGGCAGATTATGTGGGTGCAGCACGTGGATAGTACAGGGCAGGTTTTCAAACCGAAATGAGATTGTGCGGTCTCTATTTCACAGGTTGGTGACTGCAGACACTGTAGAAACAATGTGAGGGATCCTGCAGTTCTCGCTCTTTGCAGTTGGGTGGAACTTTATCTTGGTGGTTTGCCTGCTTTCTATTGATTCCTAAGGCTTGAATGGAATTTCAGTAGTCATCATTTTCAGGTTTATACAGTAGCTGCTATCGCAGCCTGGCAGGAGCGAGTTTATAAATTAAATTCTGAAGGGAAAAACCTCCTTTCAGAAAAAAAATGTTATGGACAATTCACCTGCCTAACAAAAGCAAGGTAATTTAGAGTCTAAGGCCTCTTAACCATTGCAGGCGTCTCCCATCAGGTGCTTGGGAGGTTTGTATCGTATTTGTTGCAAGCTGAACTACAGAAAACATACTGTGGAACTAGCACCGCAGCCTCTGTTTTTCTGGCTGATGTTGGAATATTGCTTTTTTAAAAGTAGCTTGAATTTAACGTGACTGCATTACTTAATGGTAACGTATTGTGGTTTAAAATGATCATTAAGTGTAGTCTGTTCCCTTCTCCTCACTTACCTGTGCAACTTTACCATAAAATAAACTGTTTTACTTCCAACGCTTCACCCAAAGGAAAAGGAATCTCTCCCACCAACAGTTTTTGCTTTGAGGATTCAGTGGAACAGACGAGTGCCAGGAAGAACACAGTATATGTTTTTGGAACACGTGCTACAAAATATCAGTGGAAAAGATCATATTCTATGTGAAGTAGAAGTCCCCTGCTGAAGGGGACTGTCTTTGGTACAGAGGAATGCTGCCTTGTACCTCTAGACTGCATCCCCCTGTTGGCAGGAGCGTTCAGGTAGCCCTCTCAGGGGCTTTGCAGGGGAAGGGAGGCTCTAACTGGATATGAGACCACAAAGTACTGGCAGAAAGCTGCCTGTTGAGCATCCTTGGTTGTAATCTTGGTTCCTGTCACTTTTGATGTTGTGGCTTCCTGTCAATCTCCTGACAGGAGGAACCGTGGGCATTTCATAACTGTACTTGCACTCATTTTGAGCAAAATTGTTGCATTTTATATCTCCCCCTCTCCAGCCTCTTTGCTTATCTTCTTTCTGTTCATGTCGTTCCGTGCTGACAGCTAATTCTGCAGTTTCACTTGTGCAGTGGTTCTCATGATGTACCTGCTGAGGGCTACAGTCTACAGACAATCAACAAGAAATTATTATAAAAATATTATTAAAATCCGTTACTCTAAAAAAAAAAATAAATGGGAACATGAATCTTGAGATTCTTCTAACTTGGCTTTTCCTTTTTGCTGAGTTTTTATTTGCCACTGACTTAGTGAGTTGGTCAGCCTCCTGGAAATGGAGTTGTTCCGTGCTTTGTCCTGGCCTGTCCTGCAGACAGTTTGTGACAGACTGTCAGGAATGACTTGTGACAGCCCAGTGCATCATAGTGGTCTGTAGCGGAGATGATTATTCACAATTTGCACGATCGCATCTAATGACTTTTTAAAGATACCATGTGGTGTCTTAGCAGCCTGTAACACGACATTATTTCTGATTAGATGCCATAAGGTTTATGGTTCCTGTAACAAACTTGATGTAATTGTGACTAGAAATGCATTACTGTATCTCTTATATACTTCACTCCATAGTTTTATTATTTTACCCACACAAGCAGCAATAAAAACTTAGAAGAAAGATTTATGAGTGAAATGGTCGAGCTCTTCATATAGCCATTACAAGGATTCTGTAACAGATTGAGCTGTCTCTTTTGTTGTCTGCTGCAATTTGTCTTGTAATAATAGACTTATATCAATTACAATGTAAACTTGCAAGCTGTATTTCTTTCTATATTTTAACTTGTTTGGAATTTGAGATTTCCATTTCTCTTGGGCTCATTGAAAGGGAGGGAAGGAAGACTTGTAACAAAAAAAAAAGAAATGGTAAAACCCAGTGCCAAGAATAAAATCTGCTGCGACGTTGGTTTCATTGTTATTCACTAGTTGTTCAGGTAATCTTGTTCAAGTCCTGCCAGCAACCTGAGCTGGACATGGAAGGAAATTAATTTGATTTATTTTGTCCAACGCTTCACCCAAAGGAAAAGGAATCTCTCCCACCAACAGTTTTTGCTTTGAGGATTCAGTGGAACAGACGAGTGCCAGGAAGAACACAGTATATGTTTTTGGAACACGTGCTACAAAATATCAGTGGAAAAGATCATATTCTATGTGAAGTAGAAGTCCCCTGCTGAAGGGGACTGTCTTTGGTACAGAGGAATGCTGCCTTGTACCTCTAGACTGCATCCCCCTGTTGGCAGGAGCGTTCAGGTAGCCCTCTCAGGGGCTTTGCAGGGGAAGGGAGGCTCTAACTGGATATGAGACCACAAAGTACTGGCAGAAAGCTGCCTGTTGAGCATCCTTGGTTGTAATCTTGGTTCCTGTCACTTTTGATGTTGTGGCTTCCTGTCAATCTCCTGACAGGAGGAACCGTGGGCATTTCATAACTGTACTTGCACTCATTTTGAGCAAAATTGTTGCATTTTATATCTCCCCCTCTCCAGCCTCTTTGCTTATCTTCTTTCTGTTCATGTCGTTCCGTGCTGACAGCTAATTCTGCAGTTTCACTTGTGCAGTGGTTCTCATGATGTACCTGCTGAGGGCTACAGTCTACAGACAATCAACAAGAAATTATTATAAAAATATTATTAAAATCCGTTACTCTAAAAAAAAAAATAAATGGGAACATGAATCTTGAGATTCTTCTAACTTGGCTTTTCCTTTTTGCTGAGTTTTTATTTGCCACTGACTTAGTGAGTTGGTCAGCCTCCTGGAAATGGAGTTGTTCCGTGCTTTGTCCTGGCCTGTCCTGCAGACAGTTTGTGACAGACTGTCAGGAATGACTTGTGACAGCCCAGTGCATCATAGTGGTCTGTAGCGGAGATGATTATTCACAATTTGCACGATCGCATCTAATGACTTTTTAAAGATACCATGTGGTGTCTTAGCAGCCTGTAACACGACATTATTTCTGATTAGATGCCATAAGGTTTATGGTTCCTGTAACAAACTTGATGTAATTGTGACTAGAAATGCATTACTGTATCTCTTATATACTTCACTCCATAGTTTTATTATTTTACCCACACAAGCAGCAATAAAAACTTAGAAGAAAGATTTATGAGTGAAATGGTCGAGCTCTTCATATAGCCATTACAAGGATTCTGTAACAGATTGAGCTGTCTCTTTTGTTGTCTGCTGCAATTTGTCTTGTAATAATAGACTTATATCAATTACAATGTAAAC